TCCAGTCTGGGCGACAGAGTGAGACTCCAACTCAAAAAATAAATAAAATAAAATAAAATAGCAGTAGTATGGTGGCATGTGTCTGAGGTCCCAGCTACTCTAGAGGCTGAAGCAGAAAGATCATCTGAGCCCAGGTGTTTAAGGCTGTGGTAAGCTGAGATCATGCCACTATACTCCAGCCTGGTGACAGAATGCAGAGTGAGACCCTGACAATAAAAAAAAAGTATATCCTATATCTTTCACAGTAGAAGTACACAGGCGCAAACACCCTAGAAGATGTGCAGAAATAGCCTACACTGACTCACAGTGAATACCTGGGCGCCAACAAGAAGGAACCCAGAAGCCACCCTGCACCATGAGGAAGGAAAACGGAAGTGTCCAAGGATGCTGAAATAAGATCAGCATGTTCACAGCACTTTCAAGTCTCGCAAGGAATTCTGCTACTTCCTAAACAATGGGAAAAGGTAACCAGGTACAGTGGCTCACACCTATAATCCCAGCACTTTGGGAGGCTGAGGAGAGAGGATTGCCTGAGCCCAGGGTTTGACATCAGCCTGGGCAACTTGGTGAGACCTCATCTCTACAATAAATCAAAAAATTAGCTGGGCATGGTGGCACACTTGTTCCAGCTACTTGGACAGCGAGGTGGAAGGATCACCTGAGCCCAGCAGGTCGAGGCTGCAGTGGCTGTGAGTGCGCCACTGCACTCGAGCCTGGGCAACTGAAAAAAAAAAAAAAGGAAAAAGGATTGAGACTCAGGGAATTTCAAACAGGGTTTGTAATTGGACTGATGTCTTGATTGTCCAAATCTATGTGAGACATGGGATAACTGGTACTGGGCCGATGTGCCCCATATATAGCAAGAAAGCATCCTGGATGCCTGAACAAGTACCATTGACACTACTGCAGTTCCTAGCAGGACTGCAGTACCCATGGTGGAAACCCTTGCTGGAGGTCCTGGAAGGTCCCAGGGGTGAGACCTCTGGCTCTCAGCTAGGGCTGGGCAGCAGAATCCCTGGAGGGCATCAGCCAGTGGACAGAGGGTGAGCGCAGATGCCCTCTGGTGCACACCCTGCTGCCCATCAGCTGCAGGCCTTCCCCCCAGCTTCCCCAGAGCTTCCTCTGGCTGGTTGCAGGGATGCAGCAGCATGGGGTCTAGATAGGCAGCAGGGCTCTGAAAGCCCCCACAGGAATGCTGAATGAAGGTCTAGAAGCCCTGAGTGGCAGGCCTGGGGATGGGTGGTGGGGATGACAATGAAGAGGCTGTCATTCCTCAAGCAAGGTCACCAGGAGGGGTGGCCAGATTATGTCAAATGTAAGTTTTTAAAACACCCCTTTGGGCCAGGCTCAGTGGCTCAGCCTGTAATTGCAGCACTTTGGGAGGCCTAGGTGAGTGGATTGCCTAAGCTTGCAAGTCTGAGATCAGCCTGGGCAACTTGACAAGACCTTGTCACTACAATAAATTTAAAAAATTGACCGGGTGTGGTAGTGCAAGCCTTGTAGTTCCAGCTACTTGGAAGGCTGAGGCGGAAGGATTGCCGGAACCCAGCAGGTTGATGCTGAGGTGACAGTGAGTGTGCCACTGCATTCCAACCTGGGCGACCGAGTGAGACTCCAACTCAAAAAAATAAAAAATAAAAACATCCTCTGGCTGGCACGGGGATGTGAGTGGGAACAGAGAGGCAGAAGAAGTGACGGTCATGGTTCAGGTGAATGACAATGGGCAAGACTAGGGGTAGCAGGCAGGGACCAGAGAGCATTGACAGACCCCAGATTCGAGAGCGGTTTGAGCTGGTGGGTCACCACCTGGGGACAGACCAAATGGAGAAGAATCAGCAAGGGTGGGAGAGTCAAAACAAAGGGGAGACGCCCTGGGGATACCTGTGAGCCCCAGGGGGCAAAACCCTGGCCTCTGCATCCTGTCTCTGCAACCCCAGACCTCAGATGCTACCTGTCCTCTTGCTGCATTCCTGAGGATGACACAGAGCCCAGAGTCCTGCCTGCCCCATCTGAGCATGTCACACTCGTGCCCACTTTGTGTGGATACCCTAAGCTGCACTTCTGCCCCATTCTCCACCTATTGGGCCAAAGAGGAGACTGAAGCACAAAGAGGATCCATGACTTAGCCAAGTTCACTTGTTCCAGGGTCACCAGAGAAAGGGTGTGCCCTTCCTATGGCCTCCTGAGCACTGGAAGATGCTGGAGATGCTGGTGCCAATATTCTGAGAGAGCAGGTATGGGGGAGACCCACTATGAGGTTAAGAGGGTCTGGGGCTGTGGAGAATGTGGAGGGTTCTCTGAGAAGGGGGAAGGAGGGGGAAAACTGGAGGGAGGCTCTACTGGGGACCCCTACCCATCCCTCACCAGAGAGGACATCCCCCTCTCTCTCCTTCACAGAGGGCTTTACCAGGAGGCTCTTAACCTTGGGAGCACTGCATAAAATCCTGGTTCTAGGCCTGAGAGGCAGGGACAGGAGGAACCTTGCACATCAGGGACATAGCACCTCAGAATCCATGGGCACCAGCTCTTTGACACAGAATCACTTGCAGCGGTGGTAACAGTATGTGCCCTTTACCAGAGTCTCTGCACTCTACCCCTTTGGTGACTTCTTTTTGTTTTTTGAGACAGGGTCTCACTCTGTCATCCAGGCTGGAATGCAGTGGTGCCATCGCAGCTCACTGTAGCCTTGAACTCCTGGGCTCAAGCAATCCTTCCATGTCAGCCACCTCGAGTAGCTGGAACTACAGGCATGCACCACCATGCTCAGCTAATTTTTTTCTTTTCTTTTCTTTTCTTTTTTAAAGAGATGGGGTCTCACTATGTTGCCCAGGCTGGTCTCAAACTCCCAAACTCAAGCTACCCTCCCACCTTGGCCTCACAAAGTGCTGAGACTGTAGGTGTGAACCACCACACTTGGTCAAGATGACTGTTTTTGAAGCATACAGGTAGATGGTGATAAAAACCAGAGAACACAGGAGAAACAGGTAAATGTAATCACTAACATCCTATCTGTGCGGCTCCTCCAGTTGTGTGTGTCGAGCCTGTCTGAAGTTCATGCCTTTTCATGGTTGGATGGTGTTCCATTGCACAGATGAACCACAGTTCGTTCACCCATTCACCATTGGAT